GCACAAGCAAAAGTGCAGAGAGAAAACACAAAGTACATTGGGACAAATGAATCAAACAACATCTCTTAAGCAGATGGCTTGAGAAATGAGAGATGAAATAGCACGACAGGGTAAGAAGAGCCGTGAGTGTCAGATTAAGGGATCTGACCTACGGAGACAGTGTGAGATGGTTAAAAGATCTGACTTGTTGCTTAACCTTTCAGACCCTGTTTCTCCATCTGTAAAATGGGAACTCTTTCTCTACACTGAATATCCCTTATAGACAAGGCATTGGGATCGACACTGGAGCTATGGCAATGTTCTCTACTTTCAAGAAGCCTATAATCTGTACCTATCCCTCAAGAAGTAGCTTTAAGGAATAAATGAGATAAATGCAAGTGGCTGAGTAGTATCTAGAACACAGTAAGTGTTCAAGTCTCAATATCCTTGAGATCTACAAACATGCAAGTCAAATTCTAAACAGTAGACAATTTGCCATAAAATAGTTGCTAACAGGACATAAGGCAAAGTAATCGAGTATTTCTAAACAGAGAAGTGATATCAAACAATGAATGTTTCCTGAGTTCTCTGTACAAACCCATGTTTTAGGATTATTGGGCTAGAAGTGGTTTATAAGAGGGACTGTAGCCAGGGAGACTAAACACTGTTAAAATACAAAGTTTGACCACAAAGTAGGAATAATTGTCTTTTTTTTTTTTTTAGATTTAATTTATTCATGAGAGAGAGTGAGAGAGAGAGAGCACAAGAGGAAGGAGGGTCAGAGGGAGAAGCAGACTCCCTGCTGAGCAGGGAGCCTGACGCAGGGCTCGATCCTGAGATTCCAGGATTATGACCCGAGCTGAAAGCAGACATTTAACCGACTGAGCCACCCAGGCACCCTAATAATTGTCTCTTCTTGGTTCATGAAAGCAGGAGAGGAGTGAGAGCAAAAGAGGTGGGTTACAACACCCCAAAGGGCAGCAGCGAGTCTGTCAACCCTATGATGCTGTCACCAGGAAAAGACACCTAAGTTCATTTCTCACTGACATGTAAGTAAGAAACTTGTTTTTAGAGTAAAGAATGCCAGATTTTGATTAAGTATAATACAACGACAAATGAGACACTCTACTTATTTAAACACAAAACAAAAAAACGCCTATTGAATCGTGCCAAAGCACTAACTTTGATCAGCACAAAAACTTTAAAGGAGGAAAGAAAGATATCCAACAATGCTTCATGCAGCCATTTACTCATCCACTGGAATGATATAAATGCTGAGGAAAGATCTGGTTTGATGAAAGCTTCAGGTAAGTCTGATAAAACAAACAGTAGAAACTAGGTTGATCCTTTAAAGGAAACTGGATAAAATCTGCCGGTTTGTTTTTATTCTTTTTACAAAAACACACAATGCTTCACTAATTTGCATAAAATTCCCTTTGGGGACCGTGCTAATCCACTCTATCATTCTAGTTTGGGTACGTAAGCCAAAGAAAGCAGAAAGTAATGCATTTTTAAAGAAAATTTTCAGAATGGTTTGAAGTCCAAAATCCTTTGAGATCTAAGAATGTGTAACTCCAAATTCTAAGAGAAAAGAATGTGTACTTCATCACCATCAAAAATCAAGAACCAGGAGTCATTCTGCAAGATTTGTTATACAGAAGTTCTGAGACATTGGAGAGATTCTGTACAAAGGATAAAGAGCAAAAGGTGAAGCAGACCATTCCTCTGATGGAATTAAAGCTTGGTTTGAATCACCTGGGTCTTTCAGGGACCCTCAACTTGGTTTAAAGAGGTCTAAACACCCAGCAGAAGAAAACATTAAGTCTTCAGAAGATGGCACCTTCATCTTCCCCCCTCAAATTATTCTATAAATACCTGAGGTTACAATGAGCACTACACAGTCAAAAAAACCAGGCACACAGGGAAATTAGACTTCATGAGTAATAACCAGCAGAAGCAACACACAACAGAAACACGTCTTTAAGGACTTCAGAGGCTGAAATTAAACACAGAATATACAACAACCGGGCTTACTCTGCTTAAAGAAGTAAAAGAAAGTTTAATAATAATTGCAGAGAAAGCTACTGAAAAATTACATAGCAGATTTTAGAAATAATTAAGTAGAATTTCTGGAAATTAAAAATGTAATAACAAAAATTTTTTAAATCAAGGAAAGGTTTAACAGCAAGTCAGACTCAACTGGAAAGAGATTTAGTGAACTGTCAGGTGGCCCAGAGGCAAAGACAGAAGACACGGAAGGGCTAATAAAAGACATAAAGAATACAATGAGAAAGTTTAACATACATGTAAGCAGAGCAGGAGAAGAGATGGGACAGAGCTCAGAGCAAATGCAGTATCTTAAGAGTAATAGCTGGGAATTTTCCAGAACTGATGAAAATTACTAAGCCACCATTTCAAGAAGTCCAATGAAACCCAAGCCAGATAATTACAAAGAAATTCATACTTAGACACATTATAGTTGGCTGCAGAAAATCAAGATGAAAATAAACTCTTAAAAATAGCAGGAAGAGGGGCTCCTAGGTGGCTCAGTCAGTTAAGCATTTGCCTTCAGCTCAGGTCATGATCCCAGGGTCCTGGGATCGAGCCCCACATGGGGAACCTCTGCCCAGCAGGGAGCCTGCTTCTCCCTCTCCCTGTCTGCCGCTCTACCTACTTGTGCTCTCTCTCTGTCAAATAAATAAATAAAATCTTAAAAAAAAAAAAAAAAATAGCAGGAAGAGGGGTGCCCAGGACGCTCAGTCAGTTAAGCATCCAACCCTTGATTTTGGCTCAGGTCATGATCTCAGAGTCCTGAGATGGAGCCCCACATTGGACTCTGTACTCATCAGGGAGTCTGCTTGAGATTCTCTCTCCCTCTGCACGCCCCTCTAAAAAAAAGAACAGCAGGAGGAAATGGTAATGACAGGTGGTGAGACAGAACAGACAGAACGCAACAGAATTACTTCAAAGGGGCTCTGACCATTTGAACTGATAAACTTCACTATGTAATTCTCTATTCTAAAAAGAATTCAAAGCAGTTTACCAAGATTCATATAATAAAATCCAATGAAATAAATTTAAAATGAGACAAGTAAAACAAAGAGGAATAGAAGACTTAAGGAAGCTGGATGCAACACTAAGATTCATTCCCAAAATGCACGCTATAAATTCATACTCGCTTTCTAGAGGAGAACCACTAAACCTTTTAGCACCTATACAAAGAAACAGTCCATTATCAGATATTCAGTAAAAACCAACTAGCTGTTCAAGGAAAACAAATATTCCTTTTTTTAAGATTTATTTATTTGAGAGAAAAGGAGAGAGTGCACGTGTGCAAGCAGGGACAGGGGGAGGGGCAGAGGGAGAGGAGAGGGAGAGAAGCAGACTCCCAGCTGAGTGGAGCACCCAACATGGGGCTCAATCTACTACCCTGAGATCATGACCTGAGCCGAAATCAAGAGCCAGAGGCTCAACCAAGAGAGCCACCCAGGCTCCCCTCAGGAAAAACAACTATTCCTAAAAATCATAATTAGTAATGATAGTAAACATTTGCAACATTCTCTTACAATAAATACAGTAGCACATTTAACAGGACCAGAATATAATTCATCAAATACAACTTTATAGGGAAGACCAAGAAATATCAATATGACAAATTCCATGGATGTGACTCAATTCAAGGGGAAGATCTAGGGAATGGATGGCCTACACCTGCTTCAGAAAACCTTTAATACGTAAGTGCTTGTCTCAGCCAAGCTTCTGCAAGCTGTGGCTTTAAGACTCCTTGCCTCACGGGTACCTAGGTGCAGCCATTCTGGGTGGCTAGTTAAGTACAAAGCCAGATGCTGAACCATCCACCAAGCCAGGAGGAGGATTATAGGCTTTTGTGAAAACTGAGGAGTCAGACATCATTCCACCTCAACTCACAGAAGTGAGGTCCAGGGTGTTCCTTAACCAGTCCTATGACCTCAGAAAGCAGATAATACTAGCTCTACATTCTACAAGTGGCAATTAATTAAAAAGAAATAAGATTTAACTTACTTAAGCCATAGTAAAAGAAAAATCAAAAGGACTTGGTATAATTGATTAGGTTGGCAGAAAGGAGTCAAAGATGCCTACAGTTTCGAATGAGGGAGAAAAGAAGTACTATAACAGAAAAACTGAGCAGACAAGTTTTGAAGGAAACAGAACAGTTCAGTTTTAGATAAAATGTTTGAGCATGAATATCTGAGCGGAAATGACTAGAAGACATTTTCTAGAATTTTCTAGATATTTAGAAATCTGTACACAGAGATAATAATCAAAGTCACTGAGTAGTTCTAATTCCCAAACTACTAAAATCCCTCTTTCTCAACACTAGCCCAATGCAAACACAAAAACTGGATCCCACAAAATATACCATCTGAAAGAAGTAGATAGCCACAGCACAAAAAGCAGATTATGTTTTAGAGTGACCCAGTGCACAGGAAGAGTGTCCAATACAGACAGCTACATAAAGTCTGACTCAGAAAGATAAATGTACAGATCTATATCCCATCACTAGACATTAGAACAGAATTAGACTATATGGCTTACCTACCGAGAATGATACAATTTCTTAACAAAGTAAATACTATCTACTCTGTGTTTTATATTTAAGAACACACAGGTACATTCTGTTCACAGGATCAGATTTTCCTAAGAATTATTAAATTGGGGGCATGGAGATTTATCAGATATGTCTGAAATTTTCCATGATAAGAGGTTTTCTTTTTAAATTAAAAAAAACACACACACACAAACAAAAAACCCTCCCTGACACTTATCAGCAATGTCTTTCAACAGCTAGAGTCAAGCTCTGCATGACAGAAGAGGCAGGAAGGACATGGTAGTTTTTTCCTCAAAAAAAAAAAAAAGAGGATAAAAAGACATGATTAAGGAGACTCAAAAGGGTTCCTAACTTCTAAATTGGATAGGAGTTAAATACAAGGGCTACTGTAGCTTAAAAATAAAGTAATAAAAAAGTAAAAAAATAAACTTACTCTTTTCAATGAGCTGATCCTGAACTCCTGCCAATGCACTTACTGCCTAAAAGAAAAAAACCACCCGTTACTAGAAAAATTATCACAGACCTCCGGAGAACACTCAGACAGCAGGGAAAGAGAAAACTCGCAGAAATTTAACTGAGGAGTTCCTCCACGATGGGCCACAGAAAGATTCCCCCAACCTCACTTACAGCTGCTGAAGTAACTGAGGATTTACTGAAGAGCCGCTCAGCTTCCTTAAACTTCCGGTTCCTTCGATCGTTTTTGCTATTGGAGTTTCTAAAACACACACAAGAAACTCATAAACACCAAGCTGTATCTATGGCTCAAGCTGAGGATGGCCCAGGACACATGTAAGGAACTCTCTCATTGTCTCTCTTTTTTAAATTACCAACTTTCACACGAAAATACCTCCATACCATTTGGATTGACCAAAACGACCTTTACGCTGAACGCCTACACAGACAGCAACGGTTTCCAATACATGGCAGGTGCTCCACTATGGGACATTAGTTAGTTCACAGTCACTGCCATTTTAATATGTATTTATTTTGATACTCATTATTAAAAACAACTAGCACAGACTAGTGATATGAAATGTTTCTGTCAAGTAAGCTTAACTGAAAAAATTTAATGAACACGGGGCACCTGGCTGGCTCAGTGGAACATGCAACTCTTGATCTCGGGGTTTTGAGTTTGAGCCCCACACTGGGTTTAGAGATTACTTAAAAAAATAAAATCCTTAGGGGCGCCTGGGTGGCTCAGTCGTTAAGCATCTGCCTTCGACTCAGGTCATGATCCCAGAGTCCTGGGATCGAGCCCCACATCGGGCTCCCTGCTCTGCGGGAGGCCTGCTTCTCCCTCTCCCACTCCCCCTGCTTGTGTTTCCTCTCTTGTTGTGTATCTCTCTGTCAAATAAATAAATAAAATCTTTAAAAAATAAAAAAATAAAATCTTTAAAAAAAAAATTTAAAGAACAAACCAGGGTTCCTTAAGGAAATGGTTGGTATTAGTTCTGGGATAAGAAAAGGACAAGGTGAGTCTAAGACACCTTGTTGGGACAGAAAGCAACAAAGTGCTCGAAGACTGAAGGGTCAAGTCAAAAAGACAATGGAATCAGCACAAGGAGGCTCCCTCTGTCCACATATGGGGCAAACCAAGCACTGAAAAGAATAATGATGGGTGTGTTTGCTTGGTCACTAAGCTGTATGTTTATGATGTATGCACTTCTCTGTATATATTTCAATAAGTTCATAGTAAAAAATAAGCCTCTATAAATAAAAAAGTGACAGCATTAGATTCCAACACTGATTTTTTTTTTTTTTTTTTTAAATCCATTGGTCTCTAATGATACTAAAGAGGGCCAGAGGGCACCTGGGTGGCTCAGTCATTAAGCGTCTGCCTTCGTCTCCGGTCATGATCCCAGGGTCCTGGGATGGAGCCCCGCATCAGGCTCCCTGCTCAGCGGGAAGCCAGCTTCCCCCTCTCCCGCTCCCCCTGCTTGTGTTCCTGCTCTCACTGTCTCTGTGTCAAATAAATAAATAAAATCTTTAAAAAAAAAAAAAAAAAAAAGAGAGAGAGAGAGGGCCAGAGATAGAGAACGAAAGAGAGAGAAGATATGAAGGGAAGATTCTTCTTTCCAAATGCCAGTAATCCATGTACAAGGATCAGAATCAGCAGTATATTAAGAGAGTAAGGTAAAAATCAACAATGGATATTAAAACCACTGAACAGAAATTTGGAGGAGCAATATATTCACACTGTCTAAAAGTATAGCCTCCAATTACAAAGAGAAAAAAATGAATTTTTACAAGGGAGAAATCATATGCTCAAACTTCGTACCAATAAATGGAACAATATGACATTATGTGCCTCCCAGTATAATAGAGGTAAACAACATACCAGGCATACAAATCACTTATGTAAGATTTTTTCCAAAAATCCTTAAAGGATCTCTCATGAGGTCACAAAAAGAAAAATCTGGAATTGAGGCATACCACAAGACAATGTCATGAACAACTTCACCACCAAAAAGGGTAGGAGACTCTCCTAAATGAAGAGAGGAAAGAGACATAACAGCCAAATACAATACATGAACACTGAATGGATCAAAACAAGGCAGCAAAGCATGTTGGGGACAATTAGGGGAATTTGAAATAAAGACTATAGGAGATGATACTATGAGTATAATGCTAATTCTCTATGTGTGATAATTGTTCGTAGGAGGTAACTACTGACATAATTATGGGCAAAGTGTCATGCTATCTACTTAAATGATTAGCAAAAAAAAAAAGTGGGGGAAAGGGAAGATATAGCTATAAAGGGGTAGCAGGCGGAAGATCTTTGTGGTGATAAAATACTTCTGTATCTTGATTGCAGTGGTGCTTACAGGAATCTACACACAGTGACAGAACTACACATACACATTGTACCAATGTCAGTTTCCTGAGTTTGATATTCTACTACAGTTACATAAAATCGAACTATTGGGGAAGACTGGGTGAAGGGTACATGGGACCCCTCTAATTTGCTGCAACTTCCTATGTATCTGTAATTGTATCAAAATTAAAAAAAAAATTTTAGAGAGGAGGGGGAAGGGCAGAGAGAGAGAGACAGAGAGAATCTTAAGCAGGCTCCATGCCCAGCACAGAGCCCAACATGGGGCTCGATCCCATGACCCTGAGATCATAACCTGAGCCGAAATCAAGAGCTGGATGTTTAACTGATTGAGCCACCCAGGTGCCTCTAAAAATTTTAAGTACAGATATAGGTGTGTGTATATTTATATACATTAGAAAGAAGCAAATGTGGCTACATGGTAACAATTGATGAATGCAAGGGAAGGGTGTCAAGAGTGCACAGTACTATTTCAACTTGAAGTGTTTCAAATTTGAAAATTTTCAAAAAGCTTAGACAGTTTTCAAGAATAGTTATTACTAAATAAATTGTGGTACGGTTAGCACACAGCTGTGGCAAATATTGTAAAGGTCAAACTCACGACTAATTAAAAAATGGAAAACACTAACAAAGTGGTATGTCAGGCACTGTCATTTGCTGTACTTTAACGCCTCACACAACCCTGTACCACCAGCCCGACTTTCCCTATTTCCCAGATGTAGGATTTGCCCACAATTACTCAGTGGGGCAGAGGCTGAGCCAGAGTCCAAGTGGAACCCCGGACGGCTTTCCACACCACCACTTTACTACCGCCTCCCTGCAAAGTTGCTAGCAAGAATACAGAAAGTCCAAAAAACAATTACTAGGGCACAATACCAACACCACAGGCTTCTGACACTCACTTCTGGTTGGTCAGATACCGATCCCAGCCACGAATAATATTGCCATACATCTGAGTGTCTTCCAGGTAGCTTCCTTCAAAAGCATAGATCTGTCTCTCCAAGTTTGCCAGTGTTTCCTGGGAAATGAAAAATAAGGAAACGGGTAATGTGTTTTAAATGCAAACGTTAACTCTGACTAAACCAAACTCTGAATATTAGCCTTAGACATTCAAGCTCCACTACACTAAGCCACCCCGGTTGGAAAGACAAGACATGGGGAGAGGAAGGCTGTTTTCAGACTAAGACAGTCTAGACCGTAGACCTGTCTTGTTGGAGCCCTTTGAGAATAGAAGGGAATGTACAGAGCCTGTCTCCAGAAAAATGTGCAAAATTTTGCATATGCTTCGCAGGGCTGGTGGAAACCCAGCTGTCAAGAACCCCCGCTCAGGCAGAACGTGAGCAGTCTGCACTCGCACGCACAAAGGTACCGCTACTGGGGAGAGGAAAGGGTGAGCAGCCTTCCAGCGCCAACTCGCTCCCCGCAGGCTCTGAGAAAACGCCGGCACTAGGCTGTCAGTTGCCATGGAAACCTGGGAGGGCAGCTTCGGGTGAGATGGCCCTCCCCGGTGCCCAAGCCTAAACACGGCGGGGAGGGGGCGGCCACCAGGGTGTCTGGAACCCTGGGTGCATGTCACAGTTCTCAATTCCCTGGACTGAGTCCTTTCCCCTCGCCTGTCACCTTCTAGATATTCCCCAAAACATCACAGCCATGCCCGTCAAAAGCCCCATCCAACACATCTCCTAGTCCTCAAAAGGACATGCGCCCCTCCATCCTCCAAAGGCCAGACAGGATGACTGGGTCCCCCTCCCACACTCGCCTCCTACCCCACCCACTCCAAGCCCACTGGCAAAGCCCGAACCGGTCTCCTACGGCCCCCAGACACGCCCGAACCCACCCCTCAAAGCCGAAGACCCGCCCGCCCTCACCCACCCAGCAAAGGCCAAGGACACAACTGCCCCTATCCGCAAAGCTCACAGATACTCGCCTCCCTCGAGCTCCCACACAAGCCCCCACCCCGGGCGCCATCCCGCCTCCACGCCCCCGCCGGCCCCTTCCCCCTCTCCCGCTCCGTGCCCCGCCCCCCCGGCCCCGGCTACCCGGCTCCGGAGTCGCGCAGCCGGGAAGCCGGGGCGCCGGCGGGCCGCGCAACGCGCAGCCGGCCTCAGGCCGCCGGGCTCCCGGCCGCCGCGTTGCGCCGGGGGAGTAACGGCCTGGCACAATCGGGCCGGGGCCTGGAGGCGGAGGCGGGCGCGGAGCCACCACCGAGCGCCCCAGCTGCCGGCCCCTCACCGCCAGCTCCTGCTTCCGCTTCACGAGCTCCGCCAGCTCCCGCCGGGTGTCCGGGATCTGCGGCGGCGCCGCCTTGTTGTGCATCGCCATGTTGGGCTGAGGCGGGCGGCGGCGGCGCCAGGCTGGGGGCGGTCCCTGCGCGCCGCCGCCCGCCAGGGGGCGCCCGCGCCGCACTGCGCCTGCGCGCGCGGCTTCCGGAGGCGCGCGCCGCGCCGCACTCGGGGTCCTCGGGCTCGCGAGCGCCCCGCCTGGACGGGCCGGTGAAGGGCCCCGCTCTGGGTCCTAGCAGCCCTTGGCCCCTCCGCGGCCGGCTGTGCGTCACAGACACCCCAAATTCACCTTGTCCAAAACCAGACTCCTCCCAAGTCACCTCAGTGAATGACTTGCACTGTCCGCCGAATTGCCCGAGTCAGAAACGTGAATATCATCGTCGCTCTCCTCTCCTCTCCCCCACAAAACCGGAGGACTCGCCTCCGGAAGAGCCCTCAGTCCACTCGCTTTTGTCCGCCAGCTCCCCTTCGTCCAGGCCCGCCCTACTTTTGGCTCCGTTATTCCCACAGCCGCCTCTTTCCACCCTTAGCTCTGTTTGATCCCTATCCACAGTGGTGCCAGGATGGTTGGTGTTTGGAAAGCAAATGTGGTGTCACTCCCCTGGTTAAAACCTTTCGATGGCTTCCCATTGCCCTTTAGAGAGACAAGTTTGTGTAGCAGTTAAGGTCACAAACCGAAGCCAGAACTACTCTGTTCAAAATCCTACCTCTACCATTGCTACGCCGTGCCATTTTCCGCAAGTAACTAAGTTTCACTGGTCTCAACTTCCTCATCTGTAAAATGGAAGTAATAATAGTACTTATCCCGTACATCTGCCCTGAGTAAATCACTTCACGTAGGGGCTTGGCAAGTAATAAGGATTATACAAATAGTCGTTTTTATCATTAAGTCCAGCATCATTTGGCTCTTGCTTACTTCTCCAGCCTCTGCCCTCCATCTTTCAGGGTTCTGGAGTTCTACTATCATGAACTGGATTTTTTTTTTCATGCTTCATTTTTTTTTCTACCTTGCTTGAAGTCTTTGGGTTTCAACAATCTGTAGATTGGTATCTTCCACTAGTTCTGAGGAATTTTCAGCTCTCTTTCTTCAGATATTCCTCTGCCTCATTTTCCTCTCTCCTTATGGAACTCAAATTGAACATAATAATCCTTTATTTACCCACTGTTTCCCATCTTTTTGTCTTTCTGCTGCATTCTGGATAGTTTCTCTTGTGTGTTGATCTTGTAACCTGAAATCTTGCTGAGGTCCCTTGTTAATTCTAGAAGGGTTTTACTGCAGATTCCTTGGGATTTTTTACATAGACAATCATTTCATCTGCAAATAAGGTTGTTGGGTTCCCCCCCCCACCCCCGCTTTCCAATCTATATGCTTTTTATTTCTTTTTCTTGCCTTACTGTGCTGGGTAGGCCTTCCAGTTCTACATTGAATAAGAGTGGTCACAGTAGACATCCTTGACTCCTTCCCTATCTTAGAAGGAAAGTATTCAGTCTTTCACCATTAAGTACATTAGCTGTAGGATTTTTGTAGATGCTTTTTATTGAGGAAGCTCCCCCTCTACTTTTGGTTTACTGATGGTTTTTTATCATGAATGGATACTGAATTTTGTCAAATGCTTTTTTCTACACCAATGGACATGATCATTTTTTCTCTAGCCTCTTGGGATAGTGGATTATATAGATTTATTTCCATATGTTAAACCAGTCTTGCATATCTGGAATAAAACTCACTTGGTCATGTTGTCTAATTCTTTTTATATATGCTGGATTCAATTTGCTAATATCCAGAATTTTTGTGGCTAAATTTCTGGGATATTGGTCTGTAGGGTTTTTGTTGTTGTTTCTTCTTCCCCTTCTCCTTCTCCTCCTTTTCCTTACCCTTTTTTTTTTTCCTGTACTGTCCTATTTGGCCTTGATACCAAAGTAATACTGCCCTCATAAAATGAGTTAAGAAGGTACTGCCTGATATTCTAATTTCTGGCAGAGATGGTATAGAATGGTGCTAATTATTCTTAAAATTTGGTAGGCTTCTTCAGTGAAACCATCACCATCTGGGCCTGGACACTTCTTTTTGGAAAAGCTTTTTATTTTTAATTATTTTAGAAAGAAAGAGAGAGCACAAGTGGGAGGGGCAGAGGGAGAGGGAGAGAGAATCTGAAGCCGACTCCACGCTGAGCAAGACCTGAGCCAAAATCAAGAGTGCGACGTTTAACCAACTGTGCCACCCAGGCACCCCTGGAAGCTTTTCCAATTAGAAATTCCGTTTCTTAAATAATTACAGGACTATTTAGATTATCTATTTCATATCAGGTGAATTTTGGTAGTTTATGGCTTTTGAGAAATTGGCCCATTTCATTTGTTAAATTTGTGTGCATGGATAATTTCTATCTTCCAGTTCACTAATTCTCCCTGAAGCTTCTGTTAAAGCCATCCACTGATGGCTTTATAGTTACTGTATTTCTCATTTCTAAAAGTTTTGGTTGGTCTTTTAAAAAATTTCCATTTTGCTTGCTGCCATTTCCTGTTCCCTCTATTTTCAAGTCTATCATTTCTTTGAGAATAGTACATTTTATAGTATCTTATAATTCAAGTATCTAAGTCTTTTGAGAATCAGTTTGTTATTCTTGTTGGTTCTCACCTACAGTAACTTTTCTGGTGAGCTTTAAAAAAATAATTGTATCTTTGCAGGGAAAAAACTGTGAAAGTAACTGGAGAGGAGATAAAAAAAAAGTCCCTTCCTCCAAAAAGTAATTTCATTTACTTCTATCATACTTCTGGAGGCATCAATAGTGCAGGATCATCTCAAGCCAGGTTTGAGGCTTGAATTCTCCTGAGCTCCCAGGCTGCAAATCCCTGGGAGGATCTCATTTCTGATCACCTCTTTTACTCTGAAAACGATAGCTCTTTGGCATACCAGCTTTTTGTGGGAAACATCTTCTAACAGTCTATTCATTGTATGTGGGCTCTGGGTTTTGATTCTGTCCCATTCAACATAGGGTAAGGTCTGATTGGCTAGAATCAAATGTGGTTTGCCATTAGGTCAAATGTGGTTTGATCTATGCTCCATTTCTCCCCGAATTCTTATTTATCTTCTCTTTTGACCTGATAACATTTTTACTAATTTGTCAGTTCTTGAATGCTTTCAGAAATTTTTTTGCTTATATTTTATCCAGAAGTTTTGGCTTCTTGCAGCAGGAGGATTCACACACACACACACACACACACACACACACACACACACAATAGCTTAGGCCATCATTAACAGAAACCAGAAGTCTCACTCACTGTTTCCCCTATTGAACTTCTGAGCGCTTCCAAAACCTCATTAGTTTATCACCTCAGGCATTTCTAAGTGCTAGCCTCTCTGCCTAGAAATATTGCTTTCTTTCCTCAACCCCACTGACCTCTTCTGGCTCTTCATTCTTTGACTCCCGAGGCTTTGTTAAATCCTATTTCTCTATGCTTCCACAATCCCCAGTGCTGCTCCTATCTAGCACTGTCTATAGCTGCTAGTTATATTGCTCTGCAAGGGCCAGACCTTGTACATCTCACAACTACATAAGAGGCAGTATATCACAGTGGGTAAGAGTGTGGAACCTGGAACCAGAGTAAGTTTGAATCCCGGTGTGACCTTAACTTCTCTGTGCCTCGGTTTTTGCATCTGCAAAATAGAAATAATAATACAAGCTTGCATTAATGCTCATGAAAAATGGTTAGAAGTGCACCTGTACAAAGACTGTGCTCCTAAGTTTTGGCCAACTTTATCATCGAAGTCTTAGCTCATGGCACTTGTTAGGCACCTGATTATTGAATGTTTATGTATTTTTATGAATCAACATGATGATTTCCAAACAGCTCTGACTTGGTGATTTGCTTGAGCCACTGTCTACCCCTGAAAGGCCCAACCACTGTGATTTCTTTGAACCACTATGAATCAAGAAACCTAATGTACCAGCTGTCTTTTCCCTCAAATCTGTCCACTAAGCACTGCCAGGGAGCTGGGAGGGAATAGCCTCGAGCAAAGACCACTGAACCAGGACTGAGGTGATTTCTCATCCTAGCTCTACCCCTCTGCCTTGCTGTGGGACTTCAGGGAAACAGCTTCATTTTACAGAACTCTTTCCGCATACCCCACTTCAGTCCTGCTGTCCCCCGGACTGCTTGGTCTCTAACAATGCCCTCTTCTACTACGGGTTCAAAACCAACCTGTTCTCTAAGGCACACCGCAAATGCCACCTCTTGCACAAGTACACTTCCAGATGACTGCTGCATTTCTAACTCACAGCTGTAATTCAGCTGTTAGCACAGTAAACTTATGCCACCGTTTGTTGGATTAACTCACTTGAACTTTAAATGTGAACAAATCAACTGTCTTTTTCAATTATTTCCCACTTGATAAAAGGAAACTTAACCCGAAGAGACCAGATGAAGCTTTAAATTCCAAAGCTTTAATTTAAATCAAGCAGGCTTCTCGCCTGTATAAATGCACATACCCAGGAATGTTGTGGGTTCGGAATGCCATCACACAAGCTGGCATTAGCTTGCTGATGTCACACTTGGGCTTTCATTAACATGCCTTCACCCCATTCCTTGCATCCATGACTAATTTCCACAAAGGGAAGGATGTTAAAATATATAACCCTCTGTGCACTGTATCAAATAATAATCAACCTGAACTATGTATTCAGTTCTAAGCCTTTTAAAACCAAGCTATATTATATACTGGCATATTCCATACACTAATACAAAAATAAATTTAAAAACCTCATTAATGAATTGATTACTCTGCTTTCACTTATCACCAGAATACAATAAAAGTATTTGAAAGCTACGTCACCAGCTGCTCTTAATGAGGTGTCCTTTGTCCATGTCCAAATGAGGGAACTAGGTGACTAGGAAGAGGTTTGATGGGGAAAACCTGAAAATTCTGTCCAATACTTCAGCAGAACTGTAGACCACCACAGAGGATTTGGGAGAGGGGCTCTGAAACAAAGGGCTGCTTTGTAGATAGCTTTTTTTTTTTAAGATTTTATTTCTTTCTCTCTTTGAGAGAGAGAGAGACAGCATGAGCCGGGGAGGAGAAGGCAGAGGCAGAGGGAGAAGCAGGATCC